CCCCAAAACCCCAAAACCCCAAAACCCCAAAACCCCAAATTTCGCGATGATAATATTAAGATAAATATATAGGATAAAAGAGATGTCTGAAAAGTCCAAAGACTTAGAAACTGGATTAATAGCAAAAGTTGTGCTGTACAAGATAGAGAATGTGAAGAAAATACAAGGCACTGAAGAACAAGCAGGAAAAGAGGAGAATAAGGAGGGAGCACAGGGATTGAAGAAGTTCGTGTTTAAGACCGGCGATGGGTCGAAAAGTGAGAGTCAAGAGGTTGAATGAAGGATGGTTTCGAGGAAATTTTATTCAAATAAAATGCTTGAATCCCTGCCTTGCTTGAAATTAAACCAGGAAGAAATTCAATCAATTGGGAGGAAGCCTAAGGAAAGAGGATCTAGAGCTGCTATGAAATCAGAGAAGCCTTCTATTAATGCAGAAAGGCCAGATATCCAAAATAGGAAGATTCTGAGATTGGTAAAGAAATTCTATAATCAACTATTCTTATTTCACAACGATAAGCTAAAGAACCAGAGATTGATAAATATTTCTTCAGATGTGATCCTCGCTGAGCTTAAAAAGATAGCATCCGTGTACATGCCTGATGCCAATATTCAGAAAATGAGTGAATTTTTATTCAAATTTCTAAACTCTCATTGTTCAGATAACTGTCAACTTAGCACAGATGCATCCATAGCTGGAGAAGAGGCATTTAACTGTACCCATAATTACAAGATCCCAAAATTTAAAGCTTTGGTGCATTACCAGTACTTTCGTATGCTTATAACCTGCTTCATGAGATTAAGAAATACTTCTTATAAATAAAGTTGTTGAGATGAAGAAAAGCATAAGATGGGAAAACCAATACGATTTTAGCGAAGAAAAGTTCAATAAAATCCTCTCGAAATGTCTGCACTGAGAGTTGAGCAAGGATATGGAGAAGAGGTTGCATCAGCTTTATGCTCAGTGTGTCACCTACGGAGTTGGCATTCAAGATTGGATTCTTGAGAGTTTTCATCAGAATATTCAAAAATAAGAGACCACGAATAATTCTAAAGTTACAATAAGAAGCTCTTTGAAATAAATTGCATCCTCAGATGAGTATTTCTTTATTTATTTGATTCAAAATTATTTTCTCTTTTAATTAATCCTCAAGGGTAAATTTAAATTCTATTAATGATCTTTTCCATAATCCCACATTTCGGATACGAAATTTTCAATAAAAAATGCTAAATTCTTCCCAAACAAATTTATCTCCCAAATACCACATACAACCTCCTCAAACTCCCCCTTAATACCTCACCTCCCTTCCCTCCAAACTCCTCCCTAGTCCTTTCTGCCCACCCCATCCCTCCCCATCCCTCCCTCTTCCTCTCCTCCCAAACTTCCTTCCCCTCCTTTGCCTCTAAAACTGCTTCCAAAATTCGTTCTTCTTCCTAACAAACCAGCCCTCTCTCAGCTAAGAGAGGTATAGAATGCTTAGGAAGGGGACTTTAGAGATCGGTTTAGGAGGAGTGGGGAACGATGAGTGCTTATGAATTTTTGACATATTATATTCAATTAAAATGTAGAAAAGGGGTTTTGGGGTTTTGGGGTTTTGGGG